TTAATGTGTTGATAAGTTGATAATGTAAGATTGTATATATTATTATAATGTGTTAGTATTGAGCATAATGTATACAACATAAATAGTCCGATTGTCAACTTTTAGTAGAGATGAAACATGTTATTCAATTTGGTATCAGAGTCAAAATCAATTATGCAAAAGATTATTCGGTGCAGAACCATGTACATATTGTTGATGACAAAGCCCATTTCGATCAGACTATTTAGTATATTTATTTAAGTCTATAATAACATTGTGAATTTACTTATGTGCACTTTTAAGTAGTAATCATGAATTTTCTTTGTCATCTGAAAAAATAATCGTAAATTTCACTTAGTACTAAAAGAAGAAGATTCATCACACTTTCATTTACGGCATGTGGTTATTAAAAGTCAAAAGAGAAAATAACGTTGCAGGTGCAGCTGAATACAATTTGATGACCATATCCAAATTGTTGAAGGCACCAAACTATATACATACAAATTATATATGCATGCAGCATATATATATATATATATATATATATATATATATATATATATATTAATCATGGATTTTGAAGATTAATAAATAAATTAAATTGATTTGTTCTTCACCAACTTGTTTGGTGAGAATGACAGGACCTTAGCTAGACTGCCGTCAGATGTAAGATTGATGAGTTTTACAAACGTAAACATTATAAATAATATTATATTATATACCTTGAATTTGCAAACCATGCATATCCAAATTTAAGGTTTGATGAGTAAATATATATCTAAAATAGCGATTCATCATTCAGTTCTCAACTTCCATTTTTGTCTATTCTAAATTATCAAATTTGTAGCAATTTTAGTCTTGGAAAAAAATTAAGTGTGTGTTTGGAAATCAGAAAATGAATCATTTTCCATTAAACATTTTCATTTATAATGTTTGGTTGCATTCTAGAAATAAACTGACTCGGTGTGTTTGGTTCATTTTCCCGAAAATGAGTAGATTTATATAATTAAACATTTTAATTGTACGCCTCTCTGCCAGCCCCATCCACGACGTTGCCCAGGTACGCCACGGCCGAAATGCTATTTTGATGCGGGTTATAATCCATCCACGGGGAAGGCCTCGTACGGCGTGGTTTTGATCTCTCATGACGGCTCTTTTGTGGCGGCTACAAACGGTCACCTTATGGATTGCTTATCACCACTTATGGTGGAGGCTTTGGCTTGCAAGGAGGCATTATCTTGGCTTAAGGAACGGAATGTGTCATATGTGGACATGCTCAGAGTTGCGTAATTGTTTACACTCGGTCTCTACGACCATCTTGTCCTACGTTGTGGTCATTGTTGACCAGTGTAGGACCTCTATGTCTTCGTTTCAGCATTGTTCTTTAAGTTTTGTGTCTAGACTTTTGAATTTGCACGCTCATACTCTTGCCTCGAGACTCTATTGCTTTATTCATGCATTAATATATCACAACGGTTGCTTTCAAAAAAAAAACATTTTAATTGTTTTGTTTAGAATATAACAACATTTATAATAATAATAATAATAATAATAATAATAATAATAATAATAATAATAATAATAATAATAGTGGTAGTAGTTGTGGTATAGTGATGGTAGTGTGGTGGTGGTGGTGGTGTTGGTGGTAGAAATTGGAAAATAACTTCAAAAAAAAAAAAATGAAGTCATTTTCCAAGAAAATGAGTGTATTTTTCTTTGACCAAACAATCATTTTCTTTTGGCACACATTGTTCCGAATACAAGTTATAACCCGAATAGTGGATAGGAATAATAATGTTGCTACTAGGAACCGAACCCTAGTGTATGGGTTGAATGTTCATTAGCCACTGGACCTGCAGGGGATTGAGTGATCGAACCAATGGATGATCTTTAAGGGGAGGCAAGAGTGCCTTATATATAGCTGAAGACGTTCAGGTGGTTGACAAATGTAAGATGTCGACGTGCCTTCAATATTGGCCATACACGTATCCCCCACTATATGGATGTCAATGATCTTCGCACGGATAAATAGAGCATCCTACCTTTTTGTACATTAAATCTTAAGTGGTTGGAGTGATTGGTACTTGTGTTGTTATGGTGGAACTCTTAATATAAGTTGATGGGTAAATCACTTAGAAAACTTTTTCATAATTTACCCTTTAAGTTATGAATTAAATCTAAATAATTTCAAAGGTAATGAATTGTTAATTTAAACTTAAAATATTCAAATTTGTGCTTGAGATTGAATCAAATATTCAGTTTGATTTGCGAAATAAAATGAGAAGGAATAAAGTATAAATTTGAAATGAAATGGATTAAAGATATAGCAAAATCTTTGTTTTATAATTTTAATTCATAGGAAAATATTTTATATTTTTATTGGTTGATTTAATGGAAGAATAAATAACACTATGTTTATTTATGCAATACCTCTCACTTTCATAAAAATACTAACTGTCATATCATTATATTTACTATTTTTTCAACATCTTTACAATTTTAATTTACCTCCAAAATGTAATATAAAAATATTATAATTATAATTAATAACATATTGAATCATTTAAATTGATAGTCTTTGAGGCTCATTTTATCAAAACTTGTCACATTTCCATGGTTGCATGTCAATTTGAAAGGCATGCAATTTATGCAAGCCTTTCATCCATATGGCTTTAAAAAACAAAGAAACAAAACTTAACGCCATATAAGATTGAAAGTGGTGCAATCGCAGGGATGATGAGAGTCTAATACTCTCTTTGTTTTATTATATTCACCAATATGAAATAAAATATTTAAAAATTATATTGTATCCGTAAACATCATAAACTAACTAAATTGAACCCATGAAATGGAACAAAGAAAATAATATTTTAAAATATTTAGATAAAATGAGTATATGATAAGCGTGGGACCAATATAAGTTTGACTAATTAATACAAAATGTTCTTTGAGCAGGTCATTAAAGTATAATGGAGAAGATAAAGAATTGAAGTTGTCACGGTTTATGATGTTTCATACGATGATTTGAGGATTTTGAGCAGGTCATTGAAGCGTCGTGGGAAATTATCTATAACTGTTGATTTATTCATTTTTTTTTTTTTAATTTCGCTGTTCAAAACAAACAATAAATAAAGTAAAGTTGTAGCTCGCAGGGTTTTAACTCACTAGTTCAATAGGCAGTATTTAAAAGAAGAGACCAAGATTCGAATTTCAACAGAGATAATAACGTAGAAATTATGGTTAAAGTGGACAGACTGTCATTTAACCCTGTCTGCTGAGACATTGAGTCACCGTAATTTTTTTTTTTTTTTGACAAAGAGTCACCGTAATTTACATATAGAATAGTTATGTTTTTTTTTGGTGATTTTTGATAATAAATTTTTATAAGTATGATTAGGAAACAGAATATGAGAGGGGAGAGAAAAAAGATAAAATATATAAAACAAAGCTAATAATAATAATAATAATAATAATAATAATAATAATAACCAAGATTATGTGGTCTAATGGTACTCAAGTTGGACTTTCATTTAGAAGATTGTAAGTTTAAGCCTCAGTAGAGGCGTTATTAGTTCTTTGTGTTTCAGTGGGTTGAGAAAGTATATCCTCTCTCTCCTCCATGTTGACTGCAAGACTCTCAAAACCCATGAAAAATGTACCATGCTCTAATGATTTGATTGTAATCTAATGGTTGATGATGATCACAATTATGAGAAGTAATCGTGTAAAGTAAATCCCACACGTGATGCCTGCTACCAATTACCAAATGAGTGAATGACCAGATTAAAAAGATTCGAGCACCTCTGTTGCGTTCACACTTGCTAAGATTCCGCTCACCAGCCTTTTCACACTGCCGGCTCGCATCAAATCCCTCGGCTTAATCGGCTCCGTTTCTTGATTTTTTTTCCCTGAGGCGTGTTTAAAAACCAGACAAATGACTTTTTTATTTTTTTTTCTCCATTATTTTTTATTCTATTCTTCAAAAGTATATGATTAAAAGGGTAATGACTTTCACAATTGTTAAATGGTTTTTGATTCCAATAAGAGTGCAAAAGTTTCCAACCAAACACACCCTGAATATTAATTTAACTTAATGAAAATCTTAATTTCTACCATTACACACAACGTATGTATTCTTATTTAAAAACGAGTTCTACTACATATACTCCCAAACTCTACTCCCCGACGTGGCAGATAATAATAAGTTATTTGGAATAAGAATTAAATTGGCTACTGAACGTAACCTAAAAATGCAATTAGGTCACTGAATTAAAAAAAAATACAATTAGACTACTGAACACTCAAAAAATGTACAATTTCACCTGATAGCAGGTTATCATCATTTTTTGCAGGTTACCTGCTTACGTGGCAGCTGAGTTGGCATGTAAGCAGATAACTCAGCTGCCACATAAGCAGGTGACTTGATAAAATTGATGGTAACCTGCTATCAGGTGAAATTGAACGTTTTTGGACTGTTCAGTGGCCTAATTGTTTTTGGTTTTTTTTTTTTTTTCGTTCAGTGGCCAATTTGAATCTTATTTCTAAGTTATTTTATCATGTGGGACTCAAGAAAAATATTTACATCAAAAATTTGAGTATGAGTAAAATTTGAGAGTAGAACTTGAGAGGCCGATAATAATTTCCTTTAAAAATTAAATTGCAAACAAATTAAAAAATCATTCAAACAAAACGGAGGAAAAAAAAAACAAGCTGAGCTGCCGGCTCCTTTTAAGACAAGTAAAGCTAGCGGTAGTAGCGTCACAGATACGGGACCCACTATGGATGAGGTCAAACCCTCCATAACCTGCCAGGTAGGACAGCCATTGCCGTCCATCGTGGCATTTCCTTATTATTATTATGGCTTTTTATTATTTTATTTACACGTGACTTGTATTAATTGGCTAAAAAAATTATATTCTTTATTTCTTTTTTATTATTGTCTTCATTAAAAATGAGAAGAAGAGACGAAAGTGGTATGAGATAATTAATCCAAATATTTTATTCCCATATTTTGCTAAGAGTATGACCCATTACCCACTTTCCACTCCGCCAGCGCCACCCACCATTTCCGGTTTGGTTGGCGAGCAGTACCGAACCTCCTTCCCTATATATTAAACAATTCTTTATCCTTACAAAGAGCATTCATTGCTTTCCTATTTCAAATTCATTTAATTTTCGCTGAACGTACAAATGGGAAACTGCGTGAGAAAGGAATCGTCGACGGAATGGGGCGGCGAAGACTGGGGTTCGCTGTCGCCGTGCGGCGACGATGCGCCGCATTTCGGAGAAGATAAGGAGGCGTTTGGGAAGCACGGGAAGGAAATAAAAGTGAAAATCAGTAAGAAGCAGTTGGCGGAGGTGGTGGGGAAGGCGGATCTCCGGGGGTTTTCTATCGATCAGCTTCTCGCGGAGTTGAAGAGCGGCGCCGATCGCTACGAGACGCATCTTCACCGCTCGTGGCGGCCGGCGTTGCACAGTATACCTGAAGTTAACTGAATTCCGGCCATTATTCTTTTTTATATATATATATCTTTCTCGATCTGATCTGCACCAACCATATTGTAAAAACTTCCATGTGTAAATAGTTTTTTTTTCTTCTTCTTCTTTTTTAAATTCTCTTTTCCTTATTGGAGTAGAAATAGTATGAGCTTTCCGGCTTGAAGATAAGGGATTTTCTTTAAGTGTTTGGAAGAAATTAAATTGTATCAAATATATTCTTTTGTGTAGTATCAATTTTGTAGCCACCCTTTACAAGATTAATAAGTTATAACAGTTATTTCTTTTCTACTCTATCAATATAATATAGTTCATACTAAGAATATATTTTCGAAAATATTGGTGATGAGCGAAGAAAACCGATCCAAAGGAAGATGGAGAGCCAACCCGGCAAGGTCAGCCCAAGGTAGACAAAGCCAATCACAAGGTTGGTCATGACTTAGGCTCAACCATTATGCTCAGCTACGGCCATGAAGAGGGTCGACCATCGAGGTCATCCTCCATGGTCGGCTTTCGGGGTTGGCCTCCGTGATCGGCTTTTCGGGCCGGCCTTTGTGGTCGGCCACAAGGTCTGTTTTGAGGTGGCCTCTAAGGACAGTTGGGCAAATACTTATTATCGTTGGTTATATTATTTTTGTAGGGTTGGTTAGGCTTATAACTTTAAATAAGCACAATTTATCCTCATTTGGGACATCTTCATCTTCATCATTGTCTTATTATCATTAATTCAAATCTTGTAATAACATTACATAGCTCATTAATACAAATCTTGTCTCCGCGACGATTGACTCATTGTCTTTTTTCACTATCACCTTTGTCTTTATTTTTTATTATTATACATTGAGTTATTTGAGTTGGACCACTCGGATCAATATAATCCATCAATTGGTAATATTTTCATTGTAAAACTCATCACCACTTAGGTATGAAAATAATTATTTCTGCTTTTAGTTGGTTCGTGTATATATATATATATATATATATATATATATATATATATATATATATATATATATATATATATATCACATTTAGTTTTTATACCAAATCTCTTACCACAAGTATGACTAGAGTACGTGCTTCACATTTTTGGTTAGAATCTCATCATCTTGAACGCTTTGGTGCTTTTAGAGTAAAAATACATTGTTTTGAATTAGAAATAAGATACATTCTAAAAAATTTTCTACTTAATATTTTGTTGAAATGACTAAATATGGTAAAAATTTAAAAAATTCGCACTAAATATGAAAAAAACAAAAAAAAAAAAAAAAAAAAAAAACTTGGGGTGATCGAAATAGTGGTGGGCCCCAAGTGAAAATGAAATGACATGATAATATGACGTGCAAAAATTACGGTATAAAATATATTTTCAATAAAAATTTAAGATATGTTTTTAGAGTAAAAATAATATTTTTCTCATTATAAAACTCACGGGTCTACGTGATTTAGATGAGGGTCAGAATTGAGGATTGGAATTGGCATGCAGGTAGGTCATCTCCGAGTAAAGTATCAGTCCAATTATCGTATATATAATTATAAGTATTAGGCTCGTGGAAAAACATGACTTTATAAAAGATACCTTTTATACTATTTTTTGAAACTATTTCCAAAAGCTCATTATAACAAATTCTTTATATTCAGTTAAAATAATAAATTAGGACAACTCCAATCAAGCTGGTCAGATCTTCACTTAGTAACCCGTACGGACTTAACTCAATTGTTCGATCAGTAGGTAGTATTTGGGAGAAGAGATCAAAGTTCGAACTTTAACGGTCACAGTATGGAGACTTTGTCAAAGTGGATGGACAGATCCCTTATGTGCACCGGCATTTGGCCTTGCTTGCTGAGTCATTAAGTCACCGCGATTTACATCCTCCCAAATACTTTGTCGGCCAAGATATAAGGGCCGCATGTCCTTTTCAACAAAGAGATTTATTTATTTATTTTAATTCTAATTTTATTCACCACCTAACAAAGAGATTTTTTTACTTAATTAAACTCCTTAAAATTATCAAGTATTTTATTCCAATTTTAATATTTGAACCAAATGCCCTTTTAAGTGCAAGTTTAGTTATTAATTTGCATGTTGTTGCAAATATGTTCTTTAATTAGTGGAAAAAATATAATTACTTGGAAAATTTACACTTATAGTTGCTAAGATATACCTAAATGACAAAAATAGCCACTTCGATAATTAATTAAAGAACACATTTACTTCATGTTTGATTTAAAAATTGATCTGTAGTGGAACAGAAATACTGTTTTTTAAGGAATGGAATAAATAAGATATAGAATTGGAATTATATTTTAGGGAAAATGGCACTTTTTCCCCCTGAATTATATACTTATAGTCATTTTTCCCCCTCAATTATTTAGGTAAGCACATTAGCCCCCTCAATTATTCTAAAAGTGGTAGTTTTTCCCCTTGATATATTAAATTGACATTTCTACCCTTAAAGTAAACATTTTATTTATTTTACTTCTCCAACAAATTATCGCGTATACGTAGGGATGACCATGGTTCAGATCAAACTGAACCGGACACTATAGCAATTGAATTAAAAGTTTCCGATTATGATTCAGATCTAGAACCTAATATTTGAATTTCAATTTATTAAAATTATGAATAAAAAAATTGGATCTTGAACCGTGAATCGGCGATTCTGGATCCGGTTCGCGATTTTGAACCGTCTTTATTTTAAAATTTTATTTTTTATTTTAAATAGTCTAAATTCAACAATAAATGTATTTTATTTTTTCAGTTCGGAACATGAATCGTCTGTTCCGGTTCACGATTTTAATAAACTCTAAATATCGAGTTTCGATTCTAAATTGTAATTGGAATATTTCGGTTTGGTTGCTATAGTGTTTGTTTGGTTTGAACCAAATTATTGTCATAATTTGTTGGAGAAGGAAAATAAATGAAATATTTATTTTAAATATTTATTTTAAGGGTAAATATGTCCATTTAACATTTTAGGGGGAAAAACAACCACTTGAATAATTCAGAGGGAAAAAGTGCTATAAGTATATAACTTAGGGGGAAGAAGTGCCATTTTCCCTATATTTTATTGTTTGATTTGGCATAATTTAAGTACTTGAATATAACAAAGCATGAATATAATAAACAACAATTAACGCAAGAGTAATGCTATTCATTCATCCAAAAAAAATTTCCCTCATAATTTTCTCATCATCCTATCATAAAATTATTTAATTTGATTGGATATTTTGACCTATAAGCAAGTTAAACATATCATGCAATTTACTTCTTCCATCCATTTCTAGGCTAAAAGTAATAAGGGTCCCTTAAATTTAGTACGCGTTCAAATTTATGAAATATAATTATCCTTCTGATGGATATATTACAAGTGGAGCCGAACTGACCCGAAATAACGAAGCACGGAAGATCCAAGTAGACCCGAGGCCCCAGGGTTGAGCCCCGCACTCAACTCGGGCCGCCTCGGCATGAGGCCCCGGCACAGGGTCTCAGCCGCATTGCCTGGTCTCTGGACCAGGCGCGGTCAAAGCGGGATGGCAACCACTCCCCCGGTTTAGGCGGGCGGTTAGGGGGGTTCATAGCATGCATGTATAAATGGCCCCTCCTTTGTCCGATTAAGACATGTTCTACCTTTTGTCATAAACTACTACTTGTAGTAGCTTGATTACTACAATCTGAATACAATATAATATACGGTCTCCGTGACCTTTACGGCATCGTTTTATCTATTTTCTATACACGTTCTTTATCGAATTTAGTAACACGAGTTCGCCCGAGTAATTAAATCCATCACCTTCATAACTGCTCCATCCTATTAATGCCTATTAAGAGCTATATATTTATTTATTTTGGGTGACTATTTCTAAGTGGATTATATATATTTTGATGTGGTCATGCCCAAGACAAAATCATGAATTGAACTAATAATAAATACGTAAATGAAAGGATAAAGATAAGGTTTTCGGACGTACATGGTAAAGTAGTTAGTTAATGCTTCCTTGCGAAAAATTATCATTAGGTAACCCACGTCAGCTTTAAATCCAACGTGTCACGTATGTTTTTGGACTTAGTACGTTCGATATTATTAAGGTGTCTCGGTAGTAAGAATTTGACTGGAAAATGTATTATTTCCCACTCCTGACTAGTAGAATTTAACATATAAGCATGCATGAGTAAAAAAAAAAATAGTTGATAGCTTGTTAATTATTTTATATATTATTATCCTATGTTAGTACAAGTATATTATTAGAAGATTAAATTATATAAAAAATAATAATTTTAAAGCAACTTTTAAAAAATGTAAATTATTATTTGTCACATCTATATATTTTACACCATACCACATTAATAAAAAGATGTAAGTTTGTCCCGAAAAGAATAATTGAGTGGGTGAAACATAATTCTCGTATGAAAAGGTCATGGATTCAATTCTTGCTAACATCTTATTGGTCGAACTCGTTACACAGAGTTTTTCTGGTCATTACGATTTACCTCTCTCCTATGTTATTATATAGGAGCAGGAAGGGGTTGCACACCCGGCCTAAACCCCTCGAGTAGTGGTATCAGTTTCCCTATTTTCAGTCAAATAAAAAACAGATGCAGATTCGACGTACTTTCAAAAGAAGAAGATACGATGAAGCACACTTTTATTTACGTACGTACTGCATGTAGTGATTAAAAGTCAAAAGGGAAAATTACAACGTTGTTAATTGGTTCAGCTGAATAAAATTTGACCACATCCAATAAGCTGTCAAAGAAGAATTCAAAATTGTTGAAGGCACCAAACTGCCAATCATTTTATTTTTGAGTTAAGACTATAATAAATGAAATGGATTTGTTTTGATCTCATCTTCACCAACTTCTTTGGTAGTAATGACTGCACCCTAGCTAGTGTGCCGTCAGATAGATGTAAGCTTGATATATATATTCTTGGTTTGACTTCACTAACAAAATTGTAGTTAAGTTTGTTTAAGATAAGTCTTTTAATTTACACCTTTGATGCCCTTTCAGCATCATGCACTTGAGAAATTACAAAGGTAATAAATGGTAAAAATGATAAGATTTTTTGATTACATTTGCTCTAAGTAGTAGTGTCAAAGCGGGTTGGTGGCCGGAATGAGCAGAAAAGGCTAACCCGCCTCATCTCATCTCGACTTGCAAAAAGAATTTATATAGTTTAAATTAATTCTAAAAGTTGATCGATAATTGCATACTAAAATAAGTTAAAGAGTTTAAACAAACATTAATGCAAGTTGTTAAATCAATAATAAATAATAAGTCCAAATAAATGATATAGTTCATAACAAATTTAATCCAAAGTTTAAAAACTTCAAACACACTCAATAGTAATATATGTGAATGCATATAGGGATCATAATGGAATTGGAATTGGATGATTGGTTTGTGACTAAAATCAGAATTACCACGAATTCAGGCGGAACTATAGAGCCTTATTATTATTATTATTATTATTATTATTATTATTATTATTATTATGAATTGTTATATTAGGTAAAATAATCGATTTTTTTTTCACTTCTTTTGTTGATTGATTTATTTTTAATTATTTTTACATTCCGCTGTACCAAACAGGAAAGAAACAAAGGTCTACGACAATTGAAGGATTATTTATAATAATATGATATGATTGTAATCTAATTGTTGTAATGGTTAATGATGATCGTAATTATGAGAAGCAATCGTTTATAGTGAATCCCACACGTGACGCCTGCCTGCTACCAAGTGCCACTAATAAAGATTCGACCACCTCAACTGCGTTCACACTTGTAAAGATTCCGCTCCCCAGCCTTTTCACACTACCGGCTCGCATCAAAACCTTCGGCTTAATCGGCTCTATTTCTTTCTTTTTTCTTTTTTATTTTCCTTAATATTTTCCTTAATTTCATTTTTATATGAAAGTTTGGATATATTAGAAGAAACAACTGAATTATAAGATCAGCGCATACGGCATCGTGTCAAACTTTACCTTCTTCTTGTGACATTTTGAATTGAATTTTTTTAATCTGAAAAAGTGAGGGACCAAAAGTAATTACATTTATAAACGATGAGTCAAATTAAAATTAATTTTTTAAAAAAATTAAAAGTTCATTTTTTTATACATTCTATTATGGCTCAGAATTTTAAACATTACTCTAACTTAAACCACAATCTTTCCTACTGATTACACATACAATGTATATTCCATTAATTAAATTAAATTGCAAAAGAATTCTTAAAATATCATTAAAAAAAAGGACTAAAATATATAAAAACCAAAGCTGAGCTGCCGGCTCCTTTCAAGACAAGTAAAGCTAGCGGTGGCGTCACATAAATTGGAGATGGGAGTATGGGACCCACTTTGGATGAGGTCAAACCCACCATAATCTGCCAGGTAGGACAGCCCTTTCCGTCCATCGTGGCAATTCCTTATTATTCACTTTTTTTTTTTTTTTTTTTAATTTCACCTTTTACTCATTACGAAAAGCCAACCATATATTATGAATAAATTTACTAAAACTACAATTTTTCATCAAACTCTTTCATGATCTGACTACTGACACACTAAAATTTCTTTATTCATTAGTTATCATTAATGGGTTGATTTTATAACATATTTAAAAAATATACTTATTAATCGTTACAAATGGGCATGCCATGTAAAAAAAAAAAATTTATTCGTATAACTTGATCTATATATTATTACATAAAAAGAAAAAAAAATATAATGCATTTCTCCTATACAATCTGCATTGACATACTTTCAATTACTTATTCAAATACAAACATTGAGCATTAAATCATTTACTAAAACTACATATTACATAAAAAGTAAAATGGAAGAGAATGCAACACCACTCTTATCTTTTTTTTTTATGACTACAATCTAACATGTCTATAATATATAATATCTGCTCTATAGCTCGCACGAGTTTAGCTCAATGGTTCAGTATGCAGTATTTGGGAGGAGAACCTCGGCGGCAGCAGTGTGGAGATTATGCTTAAAGTGGATAAATCCCTTGTGCGCACAAACATTTGGTCCTGTTTGTTAAATTATTGAGTCACCATGATTTATATCGTCCCAAATACTCTATCGGACTTGCTCTACAACATGATATGTCAATATCCTTAATTAAAATGAAACTCGAATATATGACCTTCTATTTAGAATGGTAATAGAAATCAGCCCATCTTAATTACATCAAATATTTAATTTCCTTATTTTGCTTGAAGTCTAACACTCTGACCCATTACCCACTTGAGCACATGGACTATACCCCACTCCACCAGCGCCACCCACCAATTCTGGTTTGGTTGGCGTGCCCAGTGCCCTGCCTCCTTCCCCCCTATATATGAACCAACTAACCCTCTATCTCTGCAAATTAAAGAGCCTTAATTGCATGCTTTCATATTTCAAACTCGATCAACACAAATACTTTCAAATTCATTGCCGGGAATATAATTAATTAAGCTGAATGGGAAACTGCGTCAGAAAAGAATCGTCGACGGAATGGGGCGGCGAAGACTGGGGCCTGTCGTCGCCGCCGCACAAACTCTACGACGACGAGGAGCTACATTTCGGAGAAGATAATAAGGAGCGGTTTGGCAAGCCAGGCGGGAGGGAAATAAAAGTGAAAATCAGCAAGAAGCAGTTGGCAGAGCTGGTGGGGAAGGCCGATGTTGGAGGCTTGTCTATTCATCAGCTTCTCGCAGAGTTGATGATGAACGGCGGCGCAGATCTGTACCAGTCGCGTCATCATCACCGCTCATGGCGGCCGGCGTTGCAGAGTATACCGGAGTTCAGCTGAATTTCGTTAGTTCTTCAAATTAAGAGCTTCCGATCGATTCTCTGCAGCAACCATGTAAAAACTTCTTGTGTAAATAGGTTATTTTTTTAAATTAATTTTGGAGTAGAAATAGTATGAGCGAGCTTTCAGGATTGAAGCAAATTAAATGAAATTCATAATTCTGTGGCTGGAAATTTATTAGCTAAGTATTTAGAAAAAAATAATAAAATTGTATCAGTAAAAATGTAAAATATTATTTTGTGGGGGTATCGATTTGACTGAGTATTACCCACATTAACTATTTGCTTATCAACTATTGTATGTATTCTTGAAAGTAAAAGTAATATTCCAGCTGTCCCACCCAAAAGAGGTATCTACCATGCAACGAAGAGATTAGTTGTGTCTGAAAATAAAGAGATTAGTTTGTATCCGACGGTGAAAATACTGAGTATATTAAAAAAAAAATCATTATAAAACTCACCACTCTAAAAGTCAGCAATCATATAAGTCTCTAAAGTCTAAATTAAAAAAAAAATGTTAATATTTATTCACAAAGTTACAAGTACAACGTTTATTGGCCTTTTTGTTTTGAATCGATCATTATTGACAATCAGAATTAATTTACCTCGAAGTGTCGGTTATGATCACAAGGCAAAATTTATTCAGCACACACCCTCGGATAGTGACGACGGATTTTCATATTTACTCATAAAAAAGGTTAATTTTCTTTTCTAAAATTATTCTCTAATTTCAAGTAAATTTAAAAGGCAAAAAAAAAAAAAAAGAAAAAAAGTCTTAGTCCAATTTGGATAAACTCAATTTCGATTTCTCCTATATTATTACAAATATTAGACTTTTGGAAAACATTACTTTTGAAAGCTACTTTTTTTTGGATTATTTTCTAAACTATTTCAAAAAGCTCATTCAAATACATTACAACTAACTTCTTTACGTAATAGTTAAATTAACTAAATGGACGTAAGTTAGGAAAATAGAAAATGCTATCAGTACATGTTGATATAATATAATTTTATAATAATTTATATGCATTAGTAAGCTATATATGAATTAATTGACTTAGAATAAATTAATAAAATATATTCATATAAATAAGAATTCTTTTATATTATTTGATAAATTATATTTCGGTTACTAAGATATATAGAGTGAATGATAATTCAGTTCCTAATTTGCACGTTGCTGATGTGTACGTGTTGGCTGTTGTTGTTAGACTCAAATTTTGTAGTTTTTGAATTGTTATTTATCCATTGTATACACATAATCACTTGGAAAATTTATACATTTAGTCCTTCAAATATAACTAAATAATAAAAATACTCATTTTAGGATAGCCTCAACCAAGTTGGTCGAGTTGTTGATTTGGTAACCATAAAATTTTAAGTTCGACTCGTAGTGAGAGCGGTCTAATAGGCCTTCTTAGATTGATCCAGTCAGCTATGGGCAACATAGGTTAGTTTACCTCCTTATGGTCAAACCCTACGTACATCACTCGGGTAGTAGCTCTAGGTTTCTCCAGTTACTAAAAAAAAAAATACTCATTTTGACAATTAATTAATAGACACATCCGATATTTAATTTTAGACCATAATACATGAAAACATTTGTAAGTGGTGAATAAGTTGATATACTAAAAAATTATATATCATTTTATGCTAAAAATTCCAACAACATTATCTTGGCAGGAAGCATTATGAGTTGTTTTCATTCATACGACAGATGTGATTTGTTTGGTATGCAATTAACTTAATTAAACTGGTTAGCTTGGTCCTGCAAGCAATTAAAGTAATTTAGTTAACTGATGGAATTGATATAATTGAGTAATTGACTAAGTTATCAATTTGATCCATGGATCCAATTAACTTGATTACTTGAATGACCCAATCAATATGCGGTTCGACTAAGTATATGCCGGCAAATTATTATGTGGACTTGGGTCCACCTTACGTACTGAATAATCACAATTTTGTAAAATGTAAATTGTGAATATTCAGTATGTAAATTGTGTATTTTGAACTCTAGTCTACCTTATAAGGTGGACCCGAGTCCATGGTATAATTGTTGGTATAGGCAAATTATATCGTGCACCGCGGTGCATAATCGATTATGCACCGCGCATCAAAACGACGTCGTTTTATTTAATGAAAATAAATCGAATCTTCGCAAAAAATAACTCTGTTCTTCAGTTTCATTTTGTATACGCTGCAATTTCAGTTCAACACAACCACATTTTCATTTCGATATAACTACAGTTTCATTCAATATTTATACACACAAATATGTGAAAATGTTATTTAATTTTATTTTATATACACTATAGTTTTATTAAAACACAACTACATGATCATTTCAATATAATTACAGTTTCATTGTACAATATACACTCAAATATGTGAAATGTTATTCAGTTTCATTTTATATATATTGTAGTTTCATTTCACCACAACTACAGTATCATTTTGATATAACTGCAGTTTCATTTGATAATATAAAAATAATACGTGAGATAGTGTCGGTTTAGACACACTATAGTGTCACTTCGTTATAACTGCAGAAACGACGTCGTTTTGACGTGCGGTACATAATTGATTATGCACCAATGCACCGATGCACCGCGGTGCAGATTGGTATATGCCTCCATTGATTAAATATAAGGCTCAATGGATAGATGTAAGCTTGTATTATGTAGACTAATAGGTTACAAGTTTCTTCGCACCAAAAAAAAAAAAAAAAAGAAGTACTTGAGGTTCTCTCTCAGCGATAAGAAGGAGGTTCGAATCCTATATATCATAGACAATTTGTAGATGAATTCACTAATTTGGTATAAGGAGTGGGTTAGGCTTTTTTTACGCATAAGTATACAATTTGATATGAGGTTCGAATATATAATAGTTATATCGTGGATCATGAATCATGATACATGTAACAATATACACCTCTTTATACATTTTTGTAACTTAAATTTATTTTTATCTTTTGTTTTTCTTGTATAACTAAAATTAATTTATAAAATATATATTATTAACAATCTCTAATTGAAATCTTTTGAATGACATCCAGGGAAGGAACCAAAGGGGGGGGGGGGGGGCAGCTCCCCCCCTCACCCCACCCCAACTCCATATATAGTCTTTGTATGTATATATGTATATATAGTACATGTTTTAGTATTAATATAAAAAAAAAACTATAAAATATTAACAAGAGTAAATTAGATTAGGTGGTAGAGCATATATTTGACAATAGTGAGGTTAAGGATTCAAATCTTGGTGTCAACATAGTTTTACAATTCATTAATTATGTTTCATATTTTGTTATGAATATTTTTATAAAGTTTCGATGTGTTTTATTTTTCGTTCATATCCAACAATATTTACAACTATATTTTTTAAAGGAATTTATTTATTTATTTTTAAATTATCTCTTTTGTTTTAATGTTTCGCCTTTACTGGAAAAATTTTCTGAATCCGTCTGTACTGTTTCGCCCCCCCTCAACCAAATTTCTGGCTTTGTCTCTAATGACATCCATATTGGTATAATTTTTAATTTCTTTTAAAACTAAATTTATAAGATCTAAAATCATTAGTGTAATGTTTATTTACATTAAGCTTAGTTTTTATGAACATATATAAAGAAAATTATGAACTTAATATAAAGTGAATAACAATACATATATACATATAATTTAATGTTTTTTTTTTTTTTTTGAAATACAAAAGGGAGGGGGACCCCAGGCCAAAAAAAAAAAAAAAAAAAAACACACAGCCTACTCCTTCTCAAGCATGAGACGTTCTCTTGAGTCGTTATGCTGTGCATTCGTGAGCACCATGCACCATGCATGGTGCACACGGATGCAAAAACGACGTCGTTTTGACGTCGACTTAAAAAAAATAAAAATTCAGAATTGCATAACTACACATCCATAATTTCATAACTATACATCCAGAATTGCATAACTATACATTCAGAATTGCATAACTATACATCTATAATTCCATAATTACACATTCATAACTTCATTACTACACATCCAGAATTGTATAACTACACATCCATAACTTCATAACTATAAATCCAGAATTGCATAACTACACATCCATAATTTCATAACTATAAATCCAGAATTGCATAACTCTACATCCATAATTTCATAACTATACATTCAGAAATTATGCACAACATAATGTTATTGGCGGGAATCGAAACTGATTTTTTTTTTTTTTAAATTGGACGCGCGTTTTTAGTCAAAACGACATCGTTTTTGCATCCATGGTGCACACGGATGCACAACATAATTTGCTCGTTCTCTTACCACCCCCGTATATAATTTAGTGTTTATGGACATTAAAATTTATGTTTATGAATATATAAAACAAATATTATTAACATAGTACATGATGAATATTACTCCCTTCGTCCCATTTTTTTTTCTCAAAGAAAAAAAAAAAAAAAAGAAGAAACTACACTAAGAGTACAATTTTTTTTTTTTTTTTGGTACTACTGACTCTATTACAATTTAGTATCTATCCATACATACTTTCTTAACCTATTGAAGCACAAACAATGACCTCCCATTTGAGAGAGCCAGGTGCCATTGAGCTACAAGCTACACTAAAAGTACTATAAAACACAAAATTTTAAATTCAAAATTAACTAAAAACTAATAAAGAAAATAAGTAAAAGAATAAAGAGTCAGTTTGACCAATGAATGACAGATAAAATGAGACAAAATGACTATTAAACATGATGATCTAATAGTATAATGTTTATGTACATTAAGTGTTTTGTTTTATGAACATTATGAAGTTAGTCTAAACAGAATTGAAATACATATGATGTATATCTAGAGTAGTGCTTATGGACATGGACATGCATATTAAACAATTGTTATAAACATATATAGTACATAATGAATGCTATATATAAAACATGATGTGCAAGTAATATAATGTTTATAGAGTTAATTATCAAAATGGTCCATGGACTATAGCGAAATTATCAACTTGGTCCTTAATTATTTTTTTAACTAATTAAGTCCCTCAACTTTAAAAATTTTAACCAATTTGGTCCTCCGCTTGTTTGACCGTTAACTTGGGACAAAATTGGTAATTTCGCTATAGTCAAGGGACCATTTTGGTAATTAACTTTAGGAGTGGGCAATTCGGTTTAGTTTTCTCAAATCGAACCGTACCGAACCGAACTAGTTTGGTTCGGTAATATACCGAACAATCGAACAGTATTGGATTCTTGTATACCGAACGATTCGATTAAAAACCGATCCAAATTGTTTGGTAAAAAAATTGAACTAAACCAAATACCGTTTGTTCTTTTTTTTTTTTTTTTTTTAAATATAATAATAATAATAATAAATAAATAAATAAATAAAAAGTAAATTCAAGTCCCTTGCGGCTTGCTCTGCCGTTCAGCTCATATTCTCACGGGTATCTCTCGTAAATGTTTTAATTGATTTCTTTATGGTTTGTTATCAAAAGTTCTATATTATGTGTTATGGTGTTTACATAGTCTATATCCAAAGTCTAATATATAACAAAATAGCAATCCAAAGTTCAAACAGTATTCGGTTCGGTTCGGTTTTTACCGAACAATTCAGTTCGGTTCGAGTTTTTACCAAACCGTTCGGTATACAAGAATCTATATATTACCATTCGGTTGTTCGGTATATTACCGAATCTAACTAGTTTGGTACGGTTCGGTTCGAGAAAACTGAACCGAATTGCGGACCCTTAAAGTTAATTACCGAAATGGTCCCTTGACTATAGAAAATTACCAATTTGGTCCCAAGTTAACGGTTGACTAACGGTCAAACAAATGGAGGACCAAATTGGTTAAAAAATTTAAAGTTGAGGGACTTAATTGGTCAAAAAAATACTCAAAGACCAAATTGATAATTTCGCTATAGTCAAGTGACCATTTCAGTAATTAGCTCATGTTTATATACATTAACTTTTATTTTTATGAATATATAGAGGAAACATTATGAACCTAATATAGAGTTTATAGATATACATATGTCCATAAATTTAACTATTTATGGCACAAAATTGTGTTCAAAAGAGGTTTTCCAAAGAGAAATATGGTACACTAATTTCTTCTATTATAATAAGATAAAGTTGGAAGAATAATAAGATAAAGTTAATTCGTCCATGGAAATAGTGTAAAGTTATAAACCAACACTATTGGTGCAAGTTCTTTTTTAGAATTTTTTAGGAAGTATTAACATCAACGTAATTTTTAAATATAAAAATTATGTTTTATTCACTTCATCAATAGTTCTTTTTAGGATATCATATTTTACTTCTTCAATTACAAAAAATGGTGGTTCTATTACAATGTAGTATCTGTTCATCATTGAGGCTCGAACTCATAACCTTCTAAATGAAAGTCCAACCCGAGTACCATTAGACCACATAATCTTAAGGGAAAATGATACTTTTTCCCCCTGAGTTATATACTTATAGCACTTTTTCCCCTGAATTATTTAAGTGGCCCTTTTCCCCCCTAAAATATTAAATGGACATATTTATCCTTAAAATAAATATTTAAAATAAATATTTCATTTATTTTTCTTCTCCAACAAATTATTACTATAATTTGGTTCAAACCAAACAGATATTATAGCAACCAAACCAAAATATTCCAATTACAATTTAGAATCAAAACGCGATATTTAGAGTTTATTAAAATCGCAAATCGAAATGGCCGGTTCATGTTCCGAATTGAAAAAATAAAATACATTTATTGTTGAATTTAGACTATTTTAAAATAAAAAATAAAATAAAATTTAAAATAAAGACGGTTCAAAATCACGAACCGGATCAGAAACCGCCGGTTCACGGTTCATGATCCAGTTTTTTTGGTTCATAAATTTAATAAATTGAAATCTAAATATTGGATTCTAGATCTGAATCATAACCGGAAACTTTTAATTCGATTGCTATAGTGTCCGGTTCAGTTCGAACCGAACCGTGGTCATTGCTACATATACACAATAATTTGTTGGAGAAGTAAAATAAATAAAATATTTACTTTAAGGGTAGAAATGTCAATTTAATATATCAAGGGGAAAACCACCACTTTTAAAATAATTGAGGGGACTAATGTGCTTACATAAATAATTGAGGGGAAAAAAGTACTATAAATATATAACTTAGGGGGAAAAAGTGCCATTTTCCCTAATCTTAATAAATCATTCTTTATCTATTTCACCACGACACCAACAAGTATCATGTTCCACCTTTAGATACACAGCAGTTCTAAGTTATGTACATAGACCAATAGAAGCCGTCCATCATGAGTAGTTATGCTGTGCATCCGTATGCACCATGCATGGTGCATACGGATGCAAAACGACGTCGTTTTATTAAAAACGTGCGTCTTCTCTTTAAAAAAAAAATTAGGTTCGATTCACAGCAACAACATTATGTTGTTCATTCATTCTGGAATTTTAGTTCATAGATTATGGAATTTTAGTCCATTGATTATGGAATTATAGTTCATCGATTCTGGAATTGTAGTTCATCGATTCTGAAATTTTAGTTCATAGATTCTGGAATTTTAGTTCATTCATTCTAGAATTTTTAGTTCATAAATTAGATTCTGGAATTTTAGTTCATAGATTCTGGAATTATAGTTCATCGATTTTGGAATTATAGTTCATCGATTTTGGAATTTTAGTTCATATGTTGTTGCTGAGAATCAAACCTGATTTTTTTTTTAAAGGAAAACGCGCATTTTTTATAAAACGACGTCGTTTTTGCATCCGTATGCACTATGCATGGTGCATACGGTGCACAGCATAATTTGCCGTCCATCACGGCATCGCTTCTCTATTTATTTGCCTATATCCCATTCATTCTACTCTACCTTACAAGGATTTTGTGTTGCATAGACCGCCATCTTCCTTCTCCTCTTTTCACCTCACTCTCTCACTCATTTCTCTGCTACTCTCTATATACACACAAATAAATATTTCCATATTTGTCTACGCTGGAACGTTGTCCACTTGTCTATCTACTCTTTTCTTACAGTTTCCCATAGGTATGTTATAGCTTCTACCACTTCTCTTCCTCCCTGTTTGCTTCAAAGGTCAATTTCTGGACTGTTCTTCTTTTACTTGTAAAAAATTTGGTCGGAAACATCTGGATGTAGTGGAAATTGGTTGATAAGCTCCAAGGGGAAAAAAAGTTTCAATCTTTCTGGTCCTTGGTTTGTTTTGCAAAGTGGGAAACTTTACAAATTGACAACAGCTTTCAAAGTTTACCGTCTTGATCATAAGGGTATGAAGAATTCTGGGTTGGGTACATTTATGAGGAGCAGGAGATTTGGGAGCCATTTTGATGCCTGGTCAAGCTTGGATTTGGGTGCCCAATCACAAGTGGTGGTTAAGGGGGAGTTGTGGGGGAAGAAGCAAAAGACAAGAGATGTGTATGTGGAAGATGATGGGTGGTTGTGTGTGTTGATATCATGGATTAGGATTGTTGTGTGTTTTGTTTCAATGATGTTCACCACCTTAGTGTGGGCTGTTATCATGTTGGTGCTTTTGCCCTGGCCTTATCAGAGGATTAGGCAGGGCAATATCTATGGACATGTGACTGGAAGAATGTTGGTGAGCTACTTTCTTTTTTTCTTTAAATTTTTCCTTCAATTACTTATTTTATATTCCTGTCAAGAGTGCTCTGGAATTCTCATTTTGCCTATATGTTCAGTGTTAAGAGTCTCACATTGATAAAATAAGAGAGAATATATGAGTTTATAAGGCCATGTGCTAGACTAATTGGTTGGATTTAATCTTTTAGTGTGATCTTATCTGACCTATTAGGAAACCACACACGCCAGAAAAACGTTTTTTCTTGTGTTCCTTTTTTCCTTCTTTCTTGGCAATAACTTGTGTTTTAGGACTAATAGGCCAATGTGTGGTGTTAAGAGTTTGAATCTGATGTGTGGCGTTTACGTCTCCCATGTAGCTTTTGACATATGGCAAACGGAGCAGTAAACTCAAGATAATTTCGTGGTTTCCATTTTCTTGAAAGTACTAATGTAACATATGACACGTTTATAATTAGACCACGGACTCGTTAAAGGATGGCCCTACTTGTGGTGGTTGGGGAGGGCGATAGAATTTGGTTTAAATCGAGTGGCTGGAAGTCCAGTGCTACAAGATTGCCTTCTGTTTCTTGTTTGTCTCATTCTCACATGCTATTGCATTTCAGTGTGTGGACCAATTGGCTACTATAGGGAACTTTTTCCTTTGCAGATTTAGCAGTAAATGCCATGGTTAAAAAGAGAAGTTCCAAGTATAGTTCAACAGTAAAAGTGCCTAGAAAGGCACTTAGTTTTTGAGTAGTCTAGAAATGGAAAAGCGCGGGGATATTTGAACTGAAAGATTTAGTACGGTTTGATTGCAGATATGGATTTTAGGGAATCCAATAAGGATTGAAGGAGCCGAATACTCGAATGAGAAGGCTATTTATATCTGTAATCATGCGTCTCCCATCGACATTTTTCTCATAATGTGGTTGACCCCTACTGGCACTGTCGGCATTGCAAAGAAAGAGGTCAGTTTTCGTTTACAGACCTTTCCTAGAAATCCAATATGTACATTTCTAATGTATCTTGAATCTTTTGATTTTGGTTTTTTCGTTTTGTAGATTATATTTTACCCGCTGTTCGGGCAGCTGTATGTTCTGGCAAATCATTTACGCATTGATCGTTCTAATCCAGCTGCTGCAATAGAGTCTATGAAAGAGGTACTCTTCCCTTCTCGCTATTCCTAGCAGGCGCTGCTGATTGCTAATCATATAATTAACAGGCTGCTCGAGCAATTGTGGAAAACAATTTATCTTTAATCATTTTCCCCGAGGGTACAAGATCAAAGGATGGTCGACTATTGCCGTTTAAAAAGGCAAGTTTCACAAATCTTGTTTTCTACTCCTATGTTGATGTCATAGACAGTTTTTATCATAAATTGCTATACTAATGTTCTAGTTTTGTTGCCGGGTTTTTCCCGTCTATTTGTGAAGCTCTAACTCAATGCTACTAATGTATGTGAAGTAACCATTTTTGTAATGCTCGTGTTTGTGTACTTATGTAAACAACCTATGTTAAGATCAAACGTTTACCACTACTTAGCAGTCAGCACCACATTTTTAAAAGGCAGGATGCTGGACTAGACCCTTCAGGCCTCCGCTAATTCCATAATTATTCTTGATTGCGATTGGGATAGTGAATTCTTGGATGTTGTCCTCCTTTGATTTGCAGGGGTTTGTGCACATGGCGCTGCAATCGCGGCGCCCAATAGTCCCGATCATTTTCACCGGAACGCATATGGCATGGAGGAAAGGCAGTATGCACGTTAGACCGGCTCCTCTAACCGTCAAGTTTCTCCCTCCAATTCGAACCGATGACTGGATAGCTGACAAAACCGTGGACTATGTAAAATTGGTACACGATGTTTATGCCAAAAATCTCCCAGAGTGTCAAAAGCCCCTACAAAGATGAAGCAATTCCATCTAGGCCACAGATGAGGGTTTAGATATCAGTTTGTGGCTTCTGGAGTTGAATAAAGCAAAAATGTTGCTTATAATGTTTGTATCAGAAACTCATTCATAGCACATGTACTAGATGATAGAATAGATGTACATATACATATATGTGTTGCTTATACTAGGCTTGCTCACAATCTACCATCCGAGAATCAACTGATGAGTTGCACGTCCGAGAACCAACTGTTTTTTAGTTCTCTTAATTGAATGTCATGGTAGATCAATTGGATGGATATTGTGCTAATTACCTCTCTTTGGTTCTGTAATCCTTTAATAATAGAAACGTTTACCACATATATACACTACTAGAGAACTAGAGTCCTATATACACAAGTATAGAGTCCTATATCATATATAATACACAATACAGAATAGTAATAGATTCATAATACTCATGCTCAAGCTCAAGTAAGATGACTAACTACAATGAGCTTGTCACGAAAAAATACAAAAATACGGCCCAACTAACGGTTTAGTGAAGATATCAGCAATATCCTTAGTAGAGATAAAATTAACCTGGAGCTCCCCCTTCGCCACTTTATTACATACAAAATGATAGTCAATCTCCATATGTTTGGTACAGACATGAAAAACCAGATTAGCATGTTGACATTAAGTGTCCAAATCTCACTAGGAACATGGTTGTAATTATTTATTTTCGACATACTAATTTAACATATTGATGGTAAAAATAATTAATTTTAAATATTTATAAAAAGTAATATATGAGTAGGAACATAAATATCATGATGTGGCGGCCACGTAACCTAAGTTAACGGTAATATTAACACGATTTACCATTGTCCTTAATTGCATAATTTTTTAAAATATAAAGATTAAATTGAATAAAATAAATGTATAAATATTAAATTGAACAAAATACTATAGAACCAAAATCTCGTAGGTACCTTGACCGAATAAATAGAGTATGCATGATAAATCAAAGTTTTCATTAAAATGTACAATATTCCTCTTTTATCCTCCAAGTCTTCAACCATACACAGATCATCACCAAAGAACCAAAGAGCAGAAGAGAGTCGGAGATTGAACCGGAAGCCGTAAACCCAAAATCTTCGACTAGAAAATGAGGCGGAGGCCGGGAATTGGAGGACTACAGAACGCCGCCACAGCTAGGGTTCGTTGCTCTATCTCTCAAACTAAATTTGTTGTTTGGCGTTGATTTTAGTTGATAATTTACTCGGCTAATTCATTTGTATTGCTTCTGTATTAAGGATCAATACCGATTGCTCGGTGAAAATGTGGCCAAACTGAGAACGGATCTTATGAAGGAGCAGCTCGCTACTTTTCGCTCTCAGCTCGAAGACTTTGCCCGTAAACACAAGGTTTTATTTTTTTATATGTTTTTTTTTTTTTTTTCTTTCTAATTTGCAACATTGCACCGGTTATGATTTGCTCTTCAAATTCTACTACTATTATTCTTCTTTATGTGGTTGTTATACTTGACAGAAACAGGTTCTATTGATCAATTTCGTTGTAATGTTAGGTATTCATTTCATAACATTGAAATTTGACTGCAGATTTGAGTATAATAAACTGCATTTTAGGCTATTAAGAGGTCAGCAGGAGGTTACTGATTGAAATTGGAATATAATTTACTTGGACTAATAATGTTTGAATTTTTCATAGACTTGTAATTTTGTATTTACGTATACATGTTTTTATAATTTACTTTGTGAATTCATGGAATAAATCTTCATTTATTTTCCATTAATTTTTGCTGCTTTCTAATTTAGTATGTGTAATTAATTAACAGTTTAGCAACTTCATTTGTTTTAATTTGCAGAATGACATCCGGAAGAATCCTGCATTCAGATCACAGTTTCATGAGATGTGTGCCAAAATAGGAGTAGACCCTCTTGCCTCAAACAAGGGTTTTTGGGTGGAGCTCCTAGGAATTGGTGACTTCTATTATGAACTTGGTTAGTTACATACCTATAGATTATCTTTGTTTATCATAAATGTGACGTCGCCCGTTTCTTGTTTTCAATGTTGTTTGAGATATGAACTGTAACATTGCCCTACCTACCTGTCTAGTCAGGGGTACAAATTATTGATATTTGTTTGGCAACAAGGCCTCATAATGGAGGTTTGATCAGCTTGGAGGAGCTATGTAAAATTCTTGCTCAGAAAAGGAAGGGTGCTCGTGAAACTGTGTCCGAGGATGACTGTTTGCGTGCTATAAGCAAGCTGAAGGTATTAGCACATATTATTCTACTGAACATACTGACTTTGCTTTTGCATGCTTCTTTTATGGGGTTAACTGCATACCTTTGCTGACTGTTGGTCCTTAGGCTGCAAGACTGTTCATAAACATGGTTCATGATCAGTTTGACAGAGTATTTAGATAGTTTTCAAACTTGACCACATTTGCATATGGAAAAATGGATGTAAAGATGAAATGATATAGTAGCATCCCTTCCCCCCCCTTTTTTTTTTTCCTTCTTTTGTGCATGTTTACATTTCTGGGAATTGGGATGGCTTACTGGAACATTTTCTTTATTTCCACTCTGCTGGATTATTTCCCTAATTATAGATGAATAGATGATTAACTGACAGCCCCTTTTTGAGATAAGTAGGAGTCTAGGACTTCAGAATTATATATCTTCTTCACTATATCCCTTCTGGTTTGGCCAAACATTGGCCATTGTTTTGATAGGATATGTGCCTATACAGAAAACATTATCCATTTTCCTTTAGTAGTTCTCTAAAGTTTTCCTAGTTAGCATTTTCCGTTGGAAACTTAGAAAACATGATGATCAACGCTGAAGCGTACTTGTTCTCTGATTCCGAGAATATGAAAACGTTTTCCAATGCCATTTGCTATATTTTGCAATTTGATTACATCTAAACCATCTTCCAGGTACTGGGTAATGGTTTTGAGGTGATTTCAGTTGGAAAAAGGAAGCTTGTTCGTTCTGTCCCAACTGAATTAAACAAGGATCACAATGAAATTTTAGAGCTGGCCCAGGTTTGAAAGTTTGAATCTTCTTGTAACATTTACTTATGATCAATTATCATGCAATTCAAATTCTCAAGCATCTTCTTTCTTGTAGACTCAAGGCTTTGTTACAGTTGATGAGGTACAAAGACGCTTGAATTGGTCCTCTGGTCGAGCAACTGATACCCTTGAAACACTGCTAAAGGTTAGTTTTTGCTTCTCTCTCTTTAACACTTTGCCTAGCACTTCAGTTCCATTCCATTTAGGTCTTTATCTGATTATCACAAGCCACGATTATGATATACAGGAAGGTCTGGCTATGGTTGATGATGGGCACCGTGATGGCAGACGTCGATATTGGTTTCCTTGTGTATCATCTATTTCTTCCTATGCCGGGTCTGATTCAGCTTGAGCACTTTCTGCAATGCCGGATTATTGTGTTATGAAAGAAAGGTTCTTGTTTCTGAACTCTCGTACTGTACCATATCTATTAAAGAAATTATTTTTGAATTTGTGAAAACCATACATACATGAACATTTTTCCTGTGTCAATTATAAGCACTGTTTGTAAAAACAATACAATGATGAATCCAAAATGAAATAATCAAACTCCTTGCGAAGTAAGCAATGAAGGAGGTTCAGGTTCCTCCTCTTCTGTCCATTCAGAATCCGGTTCGCTCCAGGACCGGGGTCGAACTCCAAGCCTGAAGAACAAAACCAGTTCTAATGCCTCGAAAACCTTCAGCTCATCCAAAACCGCATTCCAAGCTCCACTCACAATGCAGTAATTGTTGTTATACGGTGGCCGGTGGTGCGCCGCGTGCTGAGACCGGGAAACCAGGATTCCGGCGTCCTGGAGCGCCACCACTAGCGGCGGGAGCTTACTCTTTGTGCCGTGTGCCCAGGCATGGAACTGCTGGCTAAACATAATGCAGCCTGAGCACACCCCAATGAAGCCATGGAAAACTGGATCATTGCTGAGAAGGTCCATTGGAAGAACAGTGAACATCACCACCTTCGCCAGGGCGCTCAGATTGTTGGCGAACTCGCGCCTGGTGATCGTCCATGGCCATTTATGGTGGCCTTGGAAGGCATCGATTTGGGTTCCGAAAACCGGAGTCTTGGCAGAGCCGTAGTTGTCAATACCCCAGTGGTAGACTCCGGAGCCGAGGTCCGCCAGCACGTACCCGATGTAGCCTGCTACAATGGGCTCGAACCAAGCGTGTGAAGTGGCCGCACCGGCAACGGACTTGGCCAGAGAAACCAGCACGGTGGTGCACCCACACGCCACCCATGCACGGTGAGACCATGTTGATTTCAAGCTGGGATCATTGAGCAACGTTTTAGCAGTACTAGCAAACTCAGCCGCATTGGTCGAGAGTCTTGACTCCAATTCCACCTCTGGCGGCTCAACCACCAGCGGCCGTGGCTTGGTAGTGGTGGTGGTGGTGGAGCAGTAGACGTGTAAAGAAACCGGGAAACGGCCGGAGTTGCAGCGACTTGGGGCACGGCGTAAGGTTCTGAAAGGCTGGCTACGTTGGGGTAAGATAGACATTGTCGATGTGTAAAACCAAGAAAATGGCAATTTATTTATTGATTTAAATAGAGAGAAGAATAATGGTGGGGAGTGTGTGGTGAGAAATGGGAAAAACAAGAGTCTGGGGCAACTGGGAAATAGCGTGGTTGAGAAGGCACTGTCGTGGGGCTATAGAGATCGCTAGAAGAAAGCGCTGAATTAGTGTCTCAAAATGGTTGCATCAAAGGTCCAATATGGCCGTCACAATACAAAATTGAGGCCACATTTCCTCCTGTCTTGTCGTGTTTCAATTGCCTGCACATCTTCTCTACTCTACGATTGTAGGATTCACTAATGTTGCCTAACTCAATGGTTTAGTAGGCACTATTTAGGAGAAGAATGATTGATTAATGGTGTTTCAAATCATAAAAGCTATATTTAGTAACACTAATGCCAATTTTTGGATTCACTAATTAGTGTTGTTGGGGCGATTCAATTCATTACTCCAATCATTTTTCAAAGAGTCATTTAGATGCATTACAATTGAAGCAATTAAAAGTGACCTAAGTATTTTAATTTTACTGTCATCGTTCTAATCTTACCACTCCTCCAAACAGGGCTTTAGTTTATCAATTATAATAATATTTCAACTTTTACTTTTTGAATTTATTAAAATATTAAAAACACCTTCACTTGTAAATGGATAAACTTAGGTAAAATGCTCAAAAAGAGTATTTTGAACATTTTACACTAAATTTGATTGATTCAAAAAGTTAAAGAACTAAATTCGGTCAGCAAATACTATAGTCGAACAACTAAAACTAGACCACTAGGACATCCTCAATAGATTGGTTTTTTGCACTAAAACTAGACCATTAGGACTTCCTCGATAGATTGTTTTTTTTTTTGCACAAGAATTAAGAAGTCATGTAGGATAGAGACGAGGGAGAGAGAAGAAAAAGAAAATAAGAAGAAAAAAAAAACAAATGAAAAATAATGACAAATAGGAAACAAAAAAGAAAGACTATTAATGCGCTGGCATCATCTGTGTGGTGTGGTCCAAAATAAAAAAAGAGATGGGACTCACATTTATGACTAAATCCCCATTCTTGTCGGAGGAACTCTCCCCCTCTCTCCTCCACCTTGCCATTCACAAACCCCTTATTGGGTTGCTCTTAGTAGTTTGAGAATCAATATTAGAATAACATTCATTATTCATTAAGGAGTATATTTCATTTTTTTTTTATCTTCAACTATTACACCAATTCTATAAGTGGCGTACTTTCTCAACCTACTGAAGTACAAAGACGAGCCTCTACACTGAGGTTCGAATCTGAGACCTCTCATTTGAGGGGTCACAACTATGCTACTTGACCATAAAACTTTTGACAACCATATCTTTGGCAGGGAATAACAGTATAGCACTAATGGAATATTCATATAATCATATTGATGATTGCATACCCCATCTCTCTTCCCTCTTCGACAAGTTGACCTTGTTTGAAATATAAAGTTATATACTTAAACTTAATTAGTTGATCAATCTAAGTTTAATTTTATTAGTATGGATAAAATTAGCCCTATTGTAAACATCAATATATAATAAGCATTTGAGTCTGCAATTAACCACCTCATTTTTCATGAAGTCACAATTTCAGTTTTATTTTTATGTGACAATTTTCACTAACAGACTGCTACACTACACATGCAATGAAAACAGGTTTGAATGATCTATATTTGTGAGTGACCAAGTTTGCCACCTTTCAAATGAAGGATTGAAATCGTTATTTCACATATGTAAATAAGAGCAGTCTTAATAATGATTTTTTTGTACAAATTTTAAGATGCCAAGTAGGAGGAAAGGATGGAGAAAAAAAAAACTATGATAATACGCTCGACTGGGCGCTGTTGTTGCACCCCACGCAAGAAAAGGCGTCTCTTTTTCAATTTTGGTGGGGCCACTTTTAAAGACCTAAATCACTTCTTGCAAGAAGCTCTCACCTCTTCTCTCTCTTCTACTCAAAATTTTCTCAAAAACTGAGCAAAAGCTCTAAGCACAAATAAAAATAAAATAAAATAAAATGCTATTTTTGCTAAATATTCATTGAAAGTATAGTACATATATCAAAATTATAGTCCATATTGATGGCAGCAATTTTCACTTAAAAGACTTGTATCGATGGACATCAATCACATTTTCAGTGAACATCTTATTCGTAAGCCTGTGTGCACCCCAACATGAGACTCAAAAATCCATTTGGTTTTATGAAGAAAACAAGTTTAGAGCTCATTCATTAACAATGCACCAAAACATTACAAGTTTGGATAAATCTTTGATCATTTTCATTTGTCAGAACAGACGCTATAAACGTTACGAACACGCGAGGAGAGACCCAAAAAAAAAAAAAAAAAAAAAAAAAAAAAAAAACACTTTCTATGCTTAGGACAGTGCCATGTTGTACAAAACGAAACTGTTAAATTCACAGTGTGAAGACCTCAATCTGGATTATCCAACAAAACAATGTGGAATCAGAACACGCATTACTCGCTCTTGGAGGGGAAATGGTTCCCACCAGTGGCAATCTTGAACAGGTAAAATCCCGTCATAAGTGCACTGCAAAACAATTACACACAAACAATCTGCTCAGAAGATCCCATAAAGAAACAATCGAGCATTTAGGTTTGATAATCAGACAGTGTTACCTTATCCCGGCAACAACACCTGCAGGCATTATTTTTGAGGTTTCCATGTAGCGTTGTCCCATGACCCAAGTCAGCACGGCAGCACAAACTGTTATATAACCATGCAAATTAAGTAAACAACCTAGCTTAGCTTCAATGAAATGAGGAAGGAAGTTTAGCATGTACAAAATATGCTTAATTAGATTTCATCAACTTAGTCCCGGGAATGACAAAGGAAAGAAAAGATGGGTAAAAGAGGAGGATTGGCAACCAACCTAAACGTTTGGCACGTTCCTATAAAATTAAGTGTGATCGGGATGTTATCTAATTGTAAATACCCGCAAGGGTAGAAGGAACATTTCATTAAATGGCCACTACCAAGTTGTGCTTTAACGCAGAAAGTGTTGGGCGATGAAAAAGTAAAATATCCATAAGATAAATGATAAGAATACTAAAGACTGACGAGCACGAATGCAAGAAAGACCCATGAATTACATTGCATTGCACCTATTGAGGATGAATTGATTGATTAGATAGAGGGTAGATATAGACATACTTGAACTGAAAATATTAAAAAAGACATTTAGTTCAAGGGTTCATGATGGATTTTGCTTCATAGAATAGAACGGAGAATGATATATTATCCTAGCCCAACTAGGTTAGGATTACGATCTAGTTGAGCTCAGTCACCACACTATTCATGATAAGAAAACATATACGAAAGCATAATTGGCCAATAAAGCTAAAGAATCACAACGGCCAGTCTGGTAAACACAATGCACTTCTTAATTAAGACAGTTCTTTCCCATTTTTCCTTTGTAGTCTAACAGTTTAACTAACTTGTAGAAACCAAAGTACCATCCACGAGGCAAAATCAATCCATGATTTCTCATACATTTCGTGTCAATATTAAAAGGATAGCCAAGACAACATGGTTCGGTCCATCTCGTTTATTGCATCAAGTACCAAGTCGAAGAAATTAAGATGGAAACCAAAACAGGCAAAAAGAGCTTGATAATTAGTAAGACTTTGGTCATAGCACCTTCACATACAAATCTATAATGGAACAAACAAGAACACCTTAAAAATGGAAAAATCTCCAAAAGCAAAATTTCATTTTCACACCTAAAGAAGCAAATTTCAAACACATAAAAACTGAGTCTTTATCCTTAGATCTGAACAGTAAAGCAGAATTACAGAACCCAATGTTCTAGAACCAATCAAATTACATTCATCACACCAGAATTACTTATAGATCACGGATAAAAACCCAAAATACACAAATATAGTACATCAATATCTACAGAGATGAGGGGCAACATACCAGTTTCAACAATCAAGGCGAAGTATGAGTTCTTGCGCTTGTGAAAAGCTTGGAGGCTGAGATAACCAGCTAGGATGAGCAAAAATCCAGTGCCAAGGCCTCCACCCAGTGAAGCTATGCTTCCTTTCTTGGCAAATCCAACGATTCCACCACACACCAGAACTAAACCGTAGGGAATTGTGAAGCAAAAATCATGCATCTTCGACAAATGGGTATCCAAAAAGGAAAGAAATTTCGGCAGATTATTAGGAAATGATTGAGGGCAGAGAGATAGGGAGGAAGTGTTTGGTTTCAAAAATCAAGAAAGTTTCCAACTTGAGCCGTAGCAAATACCAGGTCAAAACCCAATGTTCATACTCCGTATTAACTAATCCCATATTTTATGCTCTTTTTAGACCAAATTGGCCTTTACAATATAATATAGCCCCCACCAACCCTTGCAGTAGTTGCAGAACAAGTCCAAATAATGAAGGGTAATATTGTCATCTATAGCTCATTGAGGCTTGCGGTCGCCACACTTCAACTTCCTTTTTTTTTTTTTTTGAACATCCACATTATTGTAATGGAATAAGGTTCAAATTGGTTACTGAATGTAACCTGAAAATGCAATTAGACCATTGAATGAAAAAGAAAAAGTGCAATTAAGTTAATGAACATTTCAAATGTATGCAATTTGACCTGATAACAGGTTATCATCAATTTTAACAGGTTACTTGCTTACGTGGTAGCTGAGTTGACATTTTTAATAATTTTTAAATAAATTTTAATAAATTAAAAAAAAAAAAAAAAGATGGGATGGCCACCCGCCACCCCGTCGTTTTATTTTTTTATTTATATTTTTTCAATTTTTTTTAAATTTATTATTAAAAATTATTAAAAATGTCAACTCAGCTGCCACGTAAGCAGGTAACCGGCTATCCGGTGAAATTACATACATTTGAAGTATTCAGTGGCCTAATTGCACGTTTTTAGAGTGTTCGTGGTTTAATTGCACCTTTTTTTTTTTTTTTTTTTTTTCCTTCAGTGGCCTAATTGCATTTTCAAGTTACGTTCAGTGGCCAATTTGAACCTTATTCGTTTTTAGTTTTGATAATTCCTTCTCGCAACTTAATCCTTTCGACATAGGTTTCAATTTTTTTTAATGACTACGGTCGAAAAAAACCCACGACTATTACTCGAAGTGATATCTGAATAAATCTCATCTTGTGACTCTAACTGATTCTCGTAACTCCATTATTTCGAACTTGTAACATTGTGATTAGCAAGTCAACATACTAAATAAGAGTGATTGTCCCCACTAACAAAGTTGATCGAGTTGTTATCTTGATAATCACAAAGTTTCAAGTTTAACTTACCATAAAAGTTATAATGATGAACATTCAAACTACATTTGATACATTGTACCATATGGGTAATAAATAGAATACATGTTTTTAACAACCTAGAGATGAAGTGATTAAAAATCACTCTTTTAACATACTAAGATAAAGTCAAAAATTACTACCACTTAACCACAAACACAAGAACTTGACCAAGAGAACAATGCACACATACAACAATTGTCTAATTCAGCCATTCTACTATGTGTATATACATATAAAAGTACATCTAGGTTGACCAGCAACTTTGACATTAAGGGGCCATCAGGATTTTCCTTCTCTCATTGCTGTTTCTGACATTGCATGTTGGATCACTCCATGAGGTTGAGGTAATCCAAGCATCATCAGATTGCACTGATTCGTCGTCATTATTCCGATGCCAACTCCAATATGCATGAGTTGAATTGACAACCTCGAACTCACCATGACCAAAGCTTGCTTGGCGGAACGCAGACCATTCTGGTTGGGGTTCACTGTACCTGCCATAGTTTCTCGAGGCATTATAAATTTGAAACTCGTGTTTAAATGTTCTGCAAATACTATGGTTGATATAAAGAACAGAGAAGGCCAGAAGGTAAAACTCGTAAACATGATGCACACAATGCTTCAAGAAAGGGGCAAATCCTAGTTTCAATGGATTGAGTTGTAAGTCCGAGGAAAAAACCTTTTTATTCAAGTTAGTTATCCCCATGAAATTATTGCATATCAGCAAAACCACAAAATCAAGCTTACAACCATACAGAATACTCACCTGGTTGCTAAACCTTCTCGGTTTCCTCCATCGCCTATGGTTATATGGATAGGACCACAGTGATCAATTTTGCCTTTGTAAACATGTTTCTGGTTGTGCAATGAAAATCAATTAGGATGAAATCCTATAATAATCAGAACGAGAAGAAGAAGATGAGACAGAGGCATACCGAGCGCTCATAAGCATGCACATGGCCAGTAAACACAATGTCTACATGAGCACCATAAAGCAAAGGTTCCATGGCTTCCTTCATGGCATTACCTTCCCCTTGATGGGCCTTATTACTACTATACCATGGCACGTGGAATATCACAACCAACCACGGTGTCTTTTTGCGATCTACTTTAAGAAAATTAGCCTAAAGTTTAAATAAAAAAACATTAATGATCACAAAAGAGCGTTACTACTAGTTATTTGAAAACAATTGAGAGCTCAAGTGCTCAACTAACCTTCGCCCAACGATATTGATCAGATTGCTCACCGTGATCAGCATAAGAGCTAAGCATCACAATGTGAACCCCTGTCACATCAAATGAGTAATACAGGTTTGAATTGGATCCACTCTCCGAAAAGGGCATCTTCCACCTCGTGTTATAAGACAGAAACCATTCTTTAACTAATGGAATCTTTTCAATTTCATGGTTTCCGTGTGTCACCATCCATGGCCTAGCACTTGCAAGCGGCTGCACCAGCATACCAAAGGTGTCCCAATGGCTTTGAACGTAATCAGCGTATGAAAGGTCTCCAGGGAGCAAAAGAACATCATATTTACATTGCTGTATGTGGCCTAAAGTTGACTTAGTCCATTCAGTCTGCCCCAAATCACCTGCCACAACGAAAGTAATTGGGAACTTGGAAGGGGGAGTCTTGAGCTGAAACTCGGGATATTTCCCCCCGCATCGATAGAAATACACAGTATCATCGGCCAGCGGTCCAATCACAGAATGGTGGATAATCCCTGATTTGTATACTAGATAGCTATAACTTGTAATTTCTCCTCCTTCAGCTACTGAGGTGTAGTTTCCTGGCGATGTGCCATATTCCACACGAGAAGGCGCTGATTTATCACTAGTCATCCAGGATACTCGTATATGTTTATCCCCGGCTAAGGATATGTGAACCTGCAGTCATTTTCAAAACTTCAAAACACCAATCTCCAAATCATTTTCAAAACTGATATTTTGCCCCCAAAATTCAAAATTATGAATCCAGAAAATACAAACTTCAGAATCAATAATAAGGATATATGAACCTGAAGTCATTTTCTAAACTTGAAAACACCAATCCCCAATTCATTTTCAAAATTGATATTTTGCCCCCAAATTCAAAAGTATGAAAATCTATCCAGAAAATACAAACTTCAGAGTCCATAAATGACGATATGTTCCCAGCTTCACCGGATTCAAATATGTTAAAAATGGATTTACTCAGTTCAAAAAATTACAAAAAATGAAAGTCATAGTCACCTACGTACTGTTTTTTGTAGCTTAAATAAAATTCTTAGGGTTTGAATTGACCCGGTTTCCTCCCTGAAATTTCTCCGGCATTAATTTCCAAAATTGACGGAAATACTTCCACTCCAACAGAAAAAATAAAAATAAAAAATTACGAAATCAACAGAAAGATAATCTCGTTTTCCTTTTTCTTCAATTTTTTTTTTTTGTTTTCTTTTCCAATATCTTACTTACCTGGTGAGGTTGAGTAGATGGATCCCTAGTTAAAATCAATGCTTTGCGGGGCGGAGGCCTGATGTAATCAGCCGTCGTAACGGAGGCGGCGAACAAAGAAACCGCCACGAAAAGTAGTGGCAATACATTCTTCAGCCGGTGATCCATGGCGGAGTGAAGATGAGGAAAAGCATGAAAGCGTGATTATATATAGATATATACAGTATATGCGCAGCGCATGAACATATACACTATACACGGCATCCAAGGTTAGGTTATCGTATTGGCGTGAACGTATATACGGACGGCATCCAAGGATATGATAGTATTCTGTTGGCCGGAAATGGAACGGTTTCTGCAATCAAATTCGAAGGTTGCATCAGAGCTGTATGGAAGTCGTCATTCCGTTGGGTTTTCTTACGTGGTCGTACCAGAATATCGTAACATTTGTAACCGTATTTTCGTTCAATCAATCATACCTTGTAGTCTTGTACGGACAATTGTTTGAACGCAATTTGCAATTCATGTGTGCTCACCTCATCCTTTAAATATTCATTTACTAATATGCCTTATATGCAATGTTGCAAAAATCCTGCCTAGATACCAGTCGAGCATTTAGTGTATCACCATAATTAGTGATCTAGGCGGTCAGCTGACTAAACGTAGCTTTGGAGCTTACTGCCTAGTCGCCCGATTAACTACTGTTTTTTTTTTTCACTCGGACGATATCGTTTTGAGCGAAATAACTCTAAATTGCTTAAACTCTTGATATTTTTTAGATTAATATTTAATATTTTAGTACTAACTATTAAAGTATTAAATAGTTGCCAAGCAACTTGTGTTCAGATGGCATATAATGACATCTTCTATGTGGAAGGTCATAAGAAAAAGTGTAATAGCATTCAAGAAAAACGATTTTTTCAACCTTGCTTATATGCATCATAAGGGAATGTGTAATATTTCTTAAAAAAATGTAATACTTTTATATTTTTACACCCGTCACATTATATGTCTTACATTAATTTTTAATTCGCCCTAAAATATTATCCACTTTTCAAAAGTAACATCCTTATATTTTTATTTTTCCTACTTTGCCCTTTAAAGGTTTTTATTAAGTATTATGTATTTATTTTTTTTTTTTTGTTGAAAGAAGCACTATGTGTTTAATTCCCACCTCCCATGTTCATCCCCCATTTTTAATCTTATATTTTCTTCATTATTCTGATATTCTCCCCCTCTCTCTCTATCTAAATACTTTTTTTTTTTGGTTTACTGAGTTGCAAGCTCTCCATCTCCCTTTCTATTTTTCATCTTTTGTTTTTGTTTGTTTGCTAATTAAATTAACAAAAAATGCATATGACATCGATCAATATATGAATTGTTGGAAGTTTTTTTTTTTTAGATGAATTATTTTTGAGTTGATCTGCAATAAAAAATACATAAAATTCAATGATGGACATGAAAATTTGTGCCCTAGAAATGATGTATCTATATTGAACACTAAATCACTACTTATAATTACAATTTCACTCCAAACATTTGAGCCTTAGTTATGGAAAATGCAAAGTGTGTTCACTAGACTTGAAGATGCAAGTATCACTTTGTATTCTTGTACTCCCAGTTTGTGTATTCTGCTAAATAGAGTAGTATCAATATTCTATATATGAAATTAAAGAAATTATTTACTGAAAAAGATGAAGAAATGTATAGAATGTATAGATGAGATGTGAAAGTGTTAAGTTGTCAAGGTGTTTGAGCGTAAAAATGTAAAGAGAGAGTTTTTCTTCATTGTCTTAGACTGAGAGAGTACATTTTTTTAATGTATTACACTTTCTCTTATAAGAGACTTTCTAATTAGCAATATTGTAAAAATCAACCTAGCACTAGGTGCACTAAGCAAAGGCGATTTCAACCCTACACCGATGAGACTTTTAGCCAGCTGACCAACTTGACACTAAATTGGGCACCTAACTTGCCCAAGTTGAACACCTAACATGACCGAGTCAAAATTAAACTCAGGCAAATGTTTTTTTTCTTTTCCTGCTCAGCAGCTACTCTTCTATATTCTTGCAGCCATGTACTCAGCAGCTACTCCTCTTCTGTATTATATTTCAATCTTAATCCAACCCACATTTCCATCTTAACCTAACCCTTCTCACAGATATGATCTCACAGAGTCATTGGAGAGTCACTCAACAAAGAATAATCTGTTTATTTCTCAAATTCGATGAATAAAATCTCTCCCAAAAACTTATTTTCTACAAACCAAATGGCCATAAAAGTTAAAGCCTAAATGAGTGACAAAACAACAAAAATGAACAGTTATTCAAACCAAAGGCGGAGGCAAATGACAATACAAACATAACGACACAACTCATAAACACTATAGGTGAATTGCTCAAGAGTATTACACAAACACAGTCTTAACTCAAGTCCTCAAATTCAACAATTAAAAAAAAAAGGGAAAAAAAAAGAAAAAAAAAACAAAACAAAACATAAGGTAAGAAAACAAGGGTGCATGCCAGGCATTCATTGTGTGGCCAGTATCACTAACTGGGAATATCAGCAATCAGCATAGCTTGTTATACACCAGTTCACCAGCCTCGTTGATCATTAGCAACATATCACTGCAAATGTGACATAACAAATAGCTTTTAATTAGGTTGTATTTGCTGCTTCCAAGTAACGTACTAATGAGAAAATAAACAAATCACTCAAAACCTAATATGGGGGTGAATATTATTATTTCATCTAGAACAAGAGAAATATAAGAAATCAATGCATGCTATACAAAAATATATGAAACTTTGACCAGAGTTTCTCTCACCCTTAAGCACTCCGCAAATTCTTCAGAGAACTACATCATACCTGATGTGGCTGTTGATAGTTTGTATATCCAGGATAACTTCCATAGTACATATTAGGGTCTTGAGCAGGTGGAGCATATCCATAAGCCTCATACCCTTGTGCATATCCATAATAGGAACCACCACCACCACCCCATTTTGGTTGCTCTGATGACTGCATCAAAAACAAAGTCAAATTTTTAAAAACAAAAGATTAAAAAATTTTTAAAAAAAAAAACAAAACAAAACAAAAATAATAATTCACTAAAGACATGACAGGAATTGACCTGTTTGTTGGAAGGGCTGCGTCCCCATGAAAGCCGAATGTTCTGTTCTCCTAACTGTGTACCCTGCAAATTTGATAGAGCCTGCTCTGCAGAAGCCCTAGGCAACACACACAAGAAACAAATAAGGTACAGGCTCATTAAAAGAAATTGCAGAAGTGATCTTAGATGCAGCACTGTGTCACCTGGTAGCAAATTGAACAAAGCCACAACGCTTTCCTGCAACTATTTTTATATGAACCAGCTCTCCATACGGGGAAAACACTTGCCTTAAATGCTCCTCAGTAACATTGGGATCCAGCCCACCAACAAATATCTGTGCATTGGAATGTGATTTAAACAGTGTACATAAAAAAAGCAAAAAACAAACACTAAGACAAACTACCCACTGTCGTATTATTAGGGTCACTCTCGCCTTGACTTGCTTGAGGATTTTGATATGTAGCTGCTGAAATGAACAAATGAGTGAAGATGCAATTCCCGGGTGAGGTAAACAGAAATAACACAGAAATACCTTTTTCTGCAGGACCAAATTTCTTGATAGAAATTTAAAAAGTAAAACCACATTACACACAAAAATGGAAATACTAACAAGCAGGCAATGCCACAACAGCACTACCAATTGTATTTTCAGCAACCAATAACTCCAAAAATTTGCAGGCATCAGAAGTAGTATAGTCAGAATGTGCAATAATCAAGCACCAAAGATTGAAAAAATGAGATCACGAAACAATTAAGTTGAATTAAATGACAAAAATTACAGGAGAACAGTGAAGCACCAATAACTTTTAACTAAAGAAAGAGAATTGCAGTGGAACAGCATAGCAACAATAAACCTTATAAATGTCCCAACCCGAAAGAGGTGATGGAAGTAGGGGGCAAATTTCATCAGAAAACGGAACCTAATCCATGTCCTTTTGCTTGGCATGTACAGAATCACGAAAATTATGCATTCTATTTTATATGCAGTTTCCATAAGTCAATCCAGCCCTTTTTGCATATCAAAGATGACACAAAAAGGACACATACTATTATCAAGTTCGGATCATAGGCCACATCAGAAAAGCTCATGCTCATGCATATTACATACATGGCCTAAAATTTTAAACCAAGTTTCTAAATGTCTTCTAGCTAATGAATCACCATTATCTCATTTGAAGTGTACAGAGGGTACACAACCTGACATACCCAGTCACCAGTGCTCAATTTATTTCATCTGAAATGTTGTTCACCTTTATCTCACTGATCTAAAAAGCACAATTAACAGGACCAATAAGCTGAAACTTGGAAACACTGTCTTATGATGCCACAAAATATTTTTACTTAAAAAAAAGAAGAAGATAAAAGTGGTAAAATGAACAGGTTGCTGCAGCAATATTTAACAGGAGAGAAAGAACTGCTCCAGATGTGATAAAAAAGAAAAAAGGGCTACTTAAGGATTTATATGAACTGGAAAAGAAACAGAAGGAAATTTAATTCTTGATAACTCTGAAAATAAATTTATTCGGGCTTGTATATCCAAAGGAACAGGAAAGTAACTTAATGTAGCATACGAAATGCCACGAGAAATTGAACGAAGCTTACTGCATAAACAAATTAACTGACCTAAAGTGAGGCCACGCACTAAATGGTAATCATTTCAGCTGAAATCAGTTCCAGGCCCCCATATACGAGAGCCTCTCTGTTTCCTGCTTCGAGACAACATGACTTTTATAAGTTTGAGCAAGTTTAGAGATAATTTAAGTTGGCCAAGTTTACAAAGGTAAGAACGGAAAGAAATGACTTTGTAAATGCTGTGTATCTTCAAGTGCATGACTGAAAGAGCAATCAACTTAAAGCGCCATAAATAAACTCAGAACCACGTCAAGAAGGAAGTCATCACTTCAACAAGTACCAATTTAGTCATTATCAGAACACACAGAACAATGAGCAAACTGCTATACAACAAAAAGATGAAAGCATAAACAAAGAGGAGGAACAGCTGATATTTTTCTGATATAGCATCAAGCATACTAAAAGCAAATGACAAAGGAATCAAAGAACCTACCTTTCTGCTGTGTACCAACAGTTTGCTTATTAGCAGCAGGCCCAACTCTCATGGGCCTGGTAGAGCATAGCACTCCATTCATTTCAGTGAGAG